CATCTCCAAAGCCAGCTTAGTATATTTGGGAATTTGGGCGTAGCTTCTCTTACTACTTCCTGCTGGATGGGGGGCACTGTATCTTATGGGGACACAAAGAAAATTTTAGGATTATGGAGTAGTCTGTGAGGGTGTATTGTTTGAGTCAGTTGCCTTGAAACAGTTCTGGATGTTGGATCATCTGAGACTTGGTGTCATTGGAGACCTTTCAGGGGGTCTTGGCTGGTCAAACCTGATGTATCTTAATCTGGAACAAATCCATAGCCTCTTGTTTTCTGTGGAAACAAAATCAGAGCCTCCTTTCCAAAGCAACATATCCTTATATCCAAATTTTGAAATCAAGGTATCTTTAAAATATACATATTGGCTTAACTCAACAGCTTTTACAATCAAATGTCTTTCTGCAGTTAAGAATATCAAAGACAACACAATCCAGATTCTCTGTGTAATATCCATCTTTATGTGGCTTGTTTTTTATATATTACTTTTACTTTCTCTTTAAAAGCTTTATTTTTTAAAACTATCTATTTCTTTATATAACTGTATATATTCCTTTTTCTCTCTCTTCCAACCCTATGTAATTTTTATACACATTGTAAAACATTTAAAGTCTTGTTTCATCTGAATCAGTCTTATTGTGAATCTATTGTTTTAAACTGCAGCATTACTAGGGCTAAAATAGCAGCTTTGGCTGGTGGCTCCACTCACCTCAGCTTCCCAACATGGCCGTGGTACATTTACCGCCAGCTCTGGGAGCCATCAACTCTTAGAAACAGTGGTTCTATGCTTCTATCAAAGCAGCGTGTAGCCCAGAAACCTCTTTTTCTTTTTCTTTTCTTTTCTTTTTTCTTTTTTTTTTTTTTTTGTACTAGCGAAGACTAAATCCACCACGCAGCATAATGTGCCGCTTGTAAATGCTTCATTCCCATCATACTGCAGGTCAAGTGCACTTGCCAGGAACCCTCCATATAGTAGCTCAAGCCCGAAGGCTGCCGCTAACTTGAGAGACAACTAGGAAGCTGTTTTAGCTTCGTTTTAGAATCCTTTTTTTATTCTTTCTCAGGTTTTAAGTGGAAATTCCTGCCCCATGTTCTGGCGCCATTTGTAGCTGGAGATTTTCTCTCCAGCTCCTGCCAAGCCCCAGCAGTCCCATAGCCCACTTATAAAATAAACACACAGACTCTTATATTATTTAAATTGTTTGGCCTAATGGCTCAGGCTTCTAACAATCTAGTTCTTATATCTTAAATCAACCTATTTCTATTAATGTATAAGTTGCCATGTGGCTTGTGGCTTACCGGTATCTTAACATCTGCTTCTCATCATGGCGGCTGGCAGCATCTCTCTGACTTGGCCTTCCACTTCCCAGAATTCTCCTCTCTCCTTGTCCCGTCTGTACTTCCTGCCTGGCTACTGGCCAATCAGTGTTTTATTTATTGACCAATCAGAGCAACACATTTGACACACAGAACATCCCATAGCAGGGCAGGCCGAGCTGCATGAACGGATCTGAGGCCAGCCTGCTCTATGTAACAAGTTCTAGGCAGGCTAAACTCAGAAAGTAAGACCCTGTTTCAAATAAAACCCAAGTTCAAGGTCATCTTCAACTACAAAGAGAGTTCAAGGCCAACTTGGGATAGAGACTGTATAAAAAAACAAAAACAACAACAAAAAAAAAAAAACAGCAACAAATTCAGGGATTATGGCTATGTCCACAGTGAAGAAGATCTGTGAAATCTTTTTTTGCTTGTTTTTTGTTTGTTTTTTGGTTTTTCAAGACAGGGTTTCCCTGTGTAGCTTTGTGCCTTCCCTGGAACTCACTTGGTAGCCCAGGCTGGCCTCGAACTCACAGAGATCCACCTGGCTCTGCCTCCCAAGTGCTGGGATTAAAGGCGTG